ATCCCGGGCACGTACCCTACTTCAGGGTCTGAATTGGAGTTAGCTTAGTCTTGACAACAGTACTTTGGGATGGGGTGCGCGAGAAGGGAAGTTGCCTGTCTTTTAGGTCAACTTGAAATCCAGAGTCCAGAGTCAGTGTGGGTGTCAGTGTGGGTGAGGCCGGGAGGACTGGCCGGAAAGGAAGAGCACTTACTGGGACCATGTTATCGTCGTTCTCAGGCTGCTTGTAGGCTTTGGCACCCCCAGTCCCCACCCCTGGGTTGCAGATGAGCCCGCGGAACAAAAGGTGCAACAAGAGGCCCTACCCCGCCCCCCCCAACACACACACCACCGTCCTGACCTCCCAGGAGCCGGCCGTCAGCTGAGCAGGCCTCCTTCAGGGTACCCCTCTTTCTCTGATGCACTGTAGATTGGATCCTGGCTTGCCCCGGGTTACTGGGATCTCAAAGGGCCAGGCCAAGCCACCCGCCACCCACTCCAGTCTCTAATCAATTTTAACACTTTGTTCTTCATCCTGAGCCTTCATCCTGAAGCCGTGGGCTTGCTGCCTTGCTGTATGGTCAGCGTATCTGCGGGTACCTCCTCTGTCCCTTGATGGACACAGTGGTTTACACGGGACTAAAGCTCGTGGGACTGAAGAGGCGGCAGTGAGACTGGGCCCAGGCCTTTCTCTTTGCTGAGTCTGCCAGACCCCCTACTCGCGGCTCTTTGCTTGACAAGTGGGTGACTAATTGTGTCATTAGAGTGGCTTCTAACTGACCGAGCCCGGCTGTGAGGAGCGGTATTGTGTTCAACCCAGGGAGCCTCACCAACCTGGGGTGAATGGCAGGTGGGGCCTGGGGTACCTCTCAGACTATCACAGACTCTCCACCAGCCCTGTTTCCAATTGTTTCTCTTTCTCACTCAGCATCAGATTCTGTCTAGACCAAAGTTAGGCACAGTCCCATCTCGATCCTTTGGAATAGGTGATTTCTTAAGGAACTTTCTACAAGGCTTTTTGAGACACTCATCCTGTAATGGGGTCAGTTATAGTTAGAACTATAGTTAGAGCTATACTATGCCTTCATTAATTAACCCAAGTCGGCGTTTTGGATTTTTCTGGGTTTGGTTGGTTAGTGAGGTGGATTCTTGAAATGTAGCCTGGGCTGACCTGGAGCCCACTGTGTACCTCAAACTCGAAATCCTCCTGCCTCAGCTTCCCAAAGCCTTATGAGAAACAGAGGAGGAAGATCTCTGTGAGTCAAATCCAGCCTGGCCTACATAGTGAACCCCCCTCCCATTCCAAACGAAACAACAAAACGAAGGCACACTCATCACCATGCCCAGGCTTTGGAGGACAAGGTAGGATGAAGAGAGTTCAAGATGGCAGCCGAGCTGTCCTGAGGGAATCCCCTTAACATTAAGGCAGTTTCCTCATGTGGAGATCAGGCCTGTGAGTCTGGGCTCAGAGCAGACCCTGTACGCCTGCCTGAAATATCCAGTGGGCAGAGTCCCAGGTGAGGGTCTGAGAGACACAGGCGCCTTTGTGTGCCGTCCCTCCCACGCTTCACAGTTGTGGGCTTCAGCGCTAGAAGCAGAGGCTTAGAGGTTGTCTTGAAATGGACTCAGGCATTTCCAGGTGTTTCCAGCCCCTTCTTCTTTCTTCACACTGCCGGGGCAGGGGTGGGATATGCCCCAGGGAAGATAACTCGGGCTGGGATGATGTCCTCCGTGGAGGCCCCTTCATGGTCCCTAGGTGAAAGGCAACAGCCAGGCTCCAGGGCCCACCCCACTGCCCCTGAGAGGCTTAACTCAACTCTCCCACCTCATCCATCCCCTCTTCCATTTCCCTCCTAATCCAGTCTGCTCCTTTCCCAGCAAGGCCGGGCCTTCTGTGGCAGCTGCAGACTCTGACTCACAAAGCTGATTACTGAAAAGGAGCCCAGGGAGGCAGCCTTCAGCTGCTGCTGGAGATCACCAGGGCAGCATGCCCCCTTGCAGGCTGCGTGCCCTCAAGGCCAGGAACCTGGTGGTGGGAGGAGATAGGCCTGGGTGGAGATTCAAGGAGCAGGGGTGAGGCCAGCCAACCTGAGGTCCAGGAGGCCTTCCTCCCCACTCCCCGTCAGTTTACAGCCCAGGCAGGGACTAGGAGAGGTAGGATCACATTATTAGACTGTGTTTTCCTCTCTCTCGTGGGATTACTGGGGCAGGCAGTGCAGGAAGCCTGGCGGGCACACCTAGTTCCCACAAGATCTGTGAGGCAACAGTGTTGGGACAAAAGTTGTTCCTTTGTAAAGCAGGGAAGCAGAGCTTTTTTTTTTTTTTTTTTTTTTTTTTTTAGATTTATTTATTTATTATGTATACAGTGTTCTGTCTGCATGCATCCCTGCAGGCCAGAAGAGGGCACCAGATCTCATTACAGATGGTTGTGAGCCACCATGTGGTTGCTGAGAACAGAACTCAGGACCTCTGGAAGGGCAGACAGCGTGATTAACCTCTGAGCCATTTCTCCAGCCCCGGAGCTTTCTTTCTTTTTCTTTTCTTTTTTTTTTTTTTTTTGTTTTGTTTTGTTTTGTTTTTGTTTTTCGAGACAGGGTTTCTCTGTGTAGGTTTGGAGTCTATCCTGGCACTCGCTCTGGAGACCAGGCTGGCCTCAAACTCACAGAGATCTGCCTGCCTCTGCCTCCTGAGTGCTGGGATTAAAGGCGTGCGCCACCAACGCCCGGCGATCCATTTATTTTTATTTTATGTGTATGAATATTTGCCTGCCTGCATGCGCACTACTTGCAGAGGCCAGAAGCGGGCATCTGGTTCCCCTGGAACTGGAGTTACAGATGGTTGTGAGCCACCATGTGGGTTCTAGGAACAGAACCCAGCTCCTCTGCGAGAACATCAAGTATTACTAACTGCTGAGCCATCTCTCCAGTCCAGAGTAGAGACTTTTGTGTATATGATGCTTGGAGTGGAAGCCAAGGCCTGGGGCATGCCAAGCAAGCACTGTACTGTCTAGCTAAATCTCCAACTCTGAGGCATTTATAAGTGCTGTATGGGGGCTGGATTTTCTGTGTGTGTGAGCACTGACATTAAGTTTATATGGGAAAATGTCCTTGAAGGCTAGAGATGTTGCCTAGTGGTAAAGCACTTGTGTAGTTTAGATGAGGTCATGGGTTAGATTGCTAGCACTGAAAAAGGAGAGACCTGTTGCTAGAACGATACATGCTAAACTCTTTTATTATTAATACACCTATTTATTTCATGTGTGTGCTCACACCAGTGCCAGACTCATCTCACCCAGTCAACTGCCAGGTCTGTTGTGTTGAGACAGGGTTTCATTTACCTTAAGGGTGTCTGGGACTCACTGAGTAGCCAAATTCGGCTTTGAACTCTTTTTAGTTTTTGAGTTAGGGTTTCTCTGTGTAGCCTTGACTGTCCTGGAACTCCCTCTGGAGACCAGGCTGGCCTCGAACTCACAGAGATCCTCCTGCCTCTCCAGTGCTGGGGTAAAGGCGTGCTCCACCAACGCCCAGAGGCCTTGAACTCTTGGTTCTTCATTTCTGCCTCCTGAACATTGGTTGGGATTACGGGCATGCACCACCGAGTACACTATAGCAAATAGTCTATTTTTTTTGTTTGTTTGTTTTGGTTTTTTGAGACAGGGTTTCTCTGTGTAGCTTTGGAGCCTATCCTGGCACTCGCTCTGGAGACCAGGCTGGCCTTGAACTCACAGAGATCCGCCTGCCTCTGTCTCCCGAGTGCTGAGACAAAAGCGTGCGCCACCAACGCCCGGCTGCAAATAGTCTATTTTTAAAAATTATTTCGTATGTGTGAGTGTTTTGCCTATATATGCATGTGTACCATAGAAGCCAAAGAGGATGTCAGATCCCCTGGAATTGGAGTTACAGAGTGTTGTGAGCCACCATGTGGGTGCTGGAAACAGAACCTGGGTCTTCTGCAAGAGCATCAAATGCTCTTAACCGCTGAGCTGTCTCTCCAGCCTAGAAATTATTTTCTTAAATTTGAGGGGTTTTTTTGGGGGGGGGATTTCGAGACAGGGTTTCTCTGTGGCTTTGAAAGCTGTCCTGGAACTAGTTCTTGTAGACCAGGCTCGTCTCGAACTCACAGAGATCCGACTAACTCTGCTCCACAGATACATAGAGAAACCCCATCTGGAGCCCCCCCCCTCGCCATAAGAATAATTTTTTTTTTTTACATTTTAAATCATATTTTAGATGTATGAGTGTTTTTCCTGATGTATGTTTGTGAACCATGTGTATGCCTAGTGCCCTTAGAGAAAAGGCCATTGGATCCCTGGAACTGGAGTTAAGGATAGGTTATGAGCCACCATATTGATACAGAAAACTGAACCCTGGACCTCTGGAAAAGCAGTCA